TTCATTCATGTGTTTCCAGACCTTTGGGTCATTCCTTTGGGTTTAAGTGTCTTTATTGTATTTTAATGTTTGTTTTTTTTTTACCACAGTTACTATTTGTTTTTTTAACTTTTGTATTGCACTTTTTAAACTTGGTGAAGTGTGGGTTTGTTAGCTGCCTTGAGTCTCCATGGGGAGAAAGGCGGGGTATAAACACAGATAATAATAATAATGATAATGATAATAATGATAATAATATAATTGTCGATGTTGCAATCCCAGGTGTCAGCAGGATTGAAGAGAAACCACAGGAAAAGCTGACACGATATGAGGATTTGAAGATCGAACTGCAAAGACTCTGGCACAAGCCAGTCAGGGTGGTTCCAGTGGTGATCAGCACACTGGGAGCAGTGCCTCAAGACCTAGGCCTGCACTTAAACATAATCGGCGCTGACAAAATTACCATCTGCCAGCTGCAAAAGGCCACCTTACTAGGATCTGCACACATCATTTGCCGATACATGACACAGTCCTAGACACTTGGGAAGTCCCCGACGTGTGTCCAATACAACAGCAAGCAGAGTGATCTTGTTTGCTGTGGACTCATCTTGTTGTGTTTCTAACAACAACAACAACAACAACATCATCAACAACAACACAACAGCCAGTAGAGTGTCTGCTGTGGACTCATCTTGTTGTGCTTCAGATAATAACAARAACAACAACAACAACAATAACAACACAACAGCCAGTAGAGTGTCTGRTGTGGACTCATCTTGTTGTGCTTCAGATAATAATAARAACAARAACAACAACAARAARAACAARACAACAGCCAGTAGAGTGTCTGCTGTGGACTCATCTTGTTGTGCTTCAGATAATAACAATAACAARAACAACAACAACACAACAGCCAGTAGAGTGTCTGTTGTGGACTCATCTTGTTGTGCTTCAGATAATAATAACAARAACAACAACAATAACAACAATACAACAGCCAGTAGAGTGTCTGCTGTGGACTCATCTTGTTGTGCTTCAGATAATAACAATAACAACAACAACAACAATAACAACACAACAGCCAGTAGAGTGTCTGRTGTGGACTCATCTTGTTGTGCTTCAGATAATAACAATAACAACAACAACAACAACAACAATAACAACACAACAGCCAGTAGAGTGTCTGTTGTGGACTCATCTTGTTGTGCTTCAGATAATAATAACAATAACAACAACAATAACAACAATACAACAGCCAGTAGAGTGTCTGCTGTGGACTCATCTTGTTGTGTTTCAAATAATAATAATCTATATAAATAAAAATGTAATGTTAGTTTGTGCTACCAGCAGAACTCAAAAACCACTGGGGGAATTGACACCAAATTTGGACACAAGACACCTAACAGTCCAATTTATGTCCTCCACTCAAAAAAAATTATTTTGTCATTTGGGAATTGTCGTTGCTGGGATTTATAGTTTACCTACAATCAAAGAGCATTCTGAACTCCACCAATGATGGAATTGGGCCAAACTTAGCACACAGGGCTCCCATGACCAACAGAAAAAACTGGAAGGGTTTGGTGGACATTGACCTTGAGTTTGGGAATTATAGTTCACCCACATCCAGAGAGCACTGTGGACTCAAACAATGATGGATCTGGACCAAACTTGGCACGAATATTCCATATGCCCAAATATGAACACAGATGGAGTTTAAGGGAAATAGACCTTGACATTTGGGAGTTGTAGTTGCTGGGATTTATAGTTCACCTACAATCAAAGAGCATTCTGAACTCCACCAATGATGGAATTCAACCAAACATGGCATACAGGACTTCCATGACCAACAGAACACACTGGAAGGGTTTGGTGGGCATTGACCTTGAGTTTGGGAGTTGTAGTTCACCCGCATCCAGAGAGCACTGTGGACTCAAACAATGATGGATCTGGACCAAACTTGACACAAATATTCCATATGCCCCAATATGAACACAGATGGAGTTTGGAGGAAATAACCTTGACATTTGGGATTTGTAGTTACTGGGATTTATAGTTCACCTACAATCTAAGAGCATTCTGAACTCCACAACGACAGAATTGGGGCAAACTTCCCACACAGAACCCCCATGACCAACAGAAATACTTAAGGCCATCCAGTCCAACTCTCTTCACCAGGGCAAGAAAATTGAATCAAAGCTCTCCTGACAAAGAGCCATCCAGTCATAAATATAAATAGATATGATTCACACACAGAGAGATATATTATCATAGATTTGAAAGAGACCCTTAAAGAAGGACTATGATATGTTGCATATTCCAGAGTAGGCAAACCAGACGCTCTCCACATCAACACTGACAAAGAAACAACAAGAAATACTCAATTCTTGTGGGTTTTTTCGGGCTATATGGCCATGTTCTAGAGGCATTTCTCCTGAGAAATACTGTTTACTCACAAGCATAAAGGAATTACATATATTGGAAACCAACACTTTCTCATTACTTTATTTTCCAGATCACCAGACTGGGCCACAGCAACGCCTGGCAGGGGACGGCTAGTTAATAATAATAATAATAATAATAATAATAATAATAATCCAGCATTTCCAACTCAGCCAATGTTTTTGTTTTCTGAAGATGAGTTTTTTTTAAATGAACATTATGGAAATAATAGAGCTAAAACTGCATTATATGGCATAGATGGAGTATCTGAATGATATTGTCGAAGGCTTTCATGGCTGGAATCACTAGGTTCTTGTGGGTTTTTTCGGGCTATATGGCCATGTTCTAGAGGCATTTCTCCTGACGTTTCGCCTGCATCTATGGCAAGCATCCTCAGAGGTAGTGAGGTCTGTTGGAAGTAGGACAATGGGTTTATATATCTGTGGAATGACGGGGTGGGGCAAAGAGCTCTTCTCTGCTGGAGCTAGGTGTGAATGTTTCAACTGACCACCTTCATTAGCATTTGAAGGCCTGGCTGAGCCTGGGAAAATGTTCTGTTGAGAGGTGTTAAGATGTGCCTGGTTGTTTCCTCTCTGCTGTTTTGCTGTAGTAATTTTAGAGTTTTTTAATACTGGTAGCCAGATTTTGTTCATTTTCATGGTCTCTTCCTTTCTGTTGAAATTGTCCACATGCTTGTGGATTTCAATGGCACTGCAGACTACTTCAACCAGAGAAGTCAGCCATAGCAGAGCACCTGATGAACCAGCCTGGACACAGCAGATTATTTGAGAACACAGAAATGCTGGACCACACCAACAACCACGTCAGGCAGGGCCGTAGCCAGAAAAATTTTTTGGGGAGGGTTGACAATTTGGGGGGGGTTTGAAAATTTCCGGGGGGGGGGGTTGAAACCTGCCTCCTAGCTCACGCTGAAGCAAAGAGCATAGCAGGGGCAGAGCAGCCTTCAATAGCCTGCAGCTCCGCCCCTGTCAACCACCTCCACCAAGTCTGGCCTCCTTAATGAGAGCATTCAACACACAACTTGGTTGCTTCGCTACATCGGCTATTGCTGCAAGTAATGACAGTGTGAATAAATTGTCAATATTTGCTTGAGATAGTGCTTGCAGTTCTGGAGGGACTCTTAATTTTTTGCATCTCATAGACTTAGCATGGGGATTTGGTTAACCAGTTAAAATTCATGAGTAAACCAGGTTTTTTTAAAAAAATCTGAAACATTTCGGGGGGGGTTTGAACCCCTAAAACCACCCCCTCACTACAGGCCTGATGTCAGGCTACACAGAGAAGCCATTGAAATCCACAAGCATGTGGACAATTTCAACAGAAAGGAGGAGACCATGAAAATGAACAAAATCTGGCTACCAGTATTTAAAAACTCTAAAATTACAACAGCAAAACAGCAGAGAGGAAACAACCAGGCACATCTTAACACCTCTCAACAGAACATTTTCCCAGGCTCAGCCAGGCCTTCAAATGCTAATGAAGGTGGTCAGTTGAAACATTCACACCTAGCTCCAGCAGAGAAGAGCTCTTTGCCCCACCCGGTCATTCCACAGATATATAAACCCATTTTCCTAGTTCCAACAGACCTCACTACCTCTGAGGATGCTTGCCATAGATGCAGGCGAAACGTCAGGAGAGAATGCTTCTAGACCATGGCCATATAGCCCGAATGAACAACAACAACAACATCTTAACACCTCTCAACAAAAGATTTTCCCAGGCTCAGCCAGGCCTTCAAATGCTAATGAAGGTGGTCAGTTGAAACATTCACACCTAGCTCCAGCAGAGAAGAGCTCTTTGCCTCACCCCAGCCATTCCACAGATATATAAACCCATTGTCCTAATTCCAACAGACCTCACTACCTCTGAGGATGCTTGCCATAGATGCAGGCGAAACGTCAGGAGAAATGCCTCTAGAACATGGCCATATAGCCCGAAAAACCCCAAAAAAACAAAGACATCTAATCACCTCTCAACAAAAGATTGCTCCAGGCACTGCCAGGCCATCAAATGCTAATCAAGGTGGTCAGTTGAAACATTCATACCTAGCTCCAGCAGACAAGAGTCCTTTGTCCCACCCTGGTCATTCCACAGATATATAAACCCACTTTCCTACTTCCAACAGACCTCACTACCTCTGAGGATGCTTGCCATAGATGCAGGCGAAACGTCAGGAGAGAATGCCACTAGAAAATGGCCATATAGCCCCCAAAAAACCTAATAATAATAATAATAATAATAATAATCCAGCATTTCCAACTCAGCCAATGTTTTTGTTTTCTGAAGATGAGTTTTTTTTTTCAAAGAACATTATGGAAACAATAGAGCTAAGACTGCATTATATGGCATAGATGGGGTATCTGAATGATAGGCTGAGAGTCACAATGAGAGCAGCCCACTCTCTTGGCTGAGTTTCTAAATTGGTTTGTCGCGCCCGCCCGCGCCGCATTGCCCTCTCCCCGCGCCTGCGCACACGGGAGCCGCGGCCAATGAGAAGGGGAGTTTTCGGAAGTCGCTTGTGGTGACGCCGCGCCTGCGCACGGGCCGAGGGAGGCCTCTTCCGCGCATGCGCACGCGCGGCTAGCCGAGGGAGGCGACAAGATGGCGGCCGCCGGCGCTTTTTGGGGCCTAGTCGTGGCGCTGTTCGTCCTGGGCGCCTCTTTCGCCTCCGAGGAGCCCAAGAAGCCCCCCTCCAAGCCCGCGAAGAAGAAGGACATTCGGGACTACAACGACGCCGACATGGCGCGGCTGCTGGAGCAGTGGGAGGTCGGTACGAGGGCATCTACTTCAGGCATGGGCCAACTTGGGCCCTCCTAGTGTTTTGGACTCCAACGCCCACCATTCCTAGCCGCCTCAGGCCCTTCCTTTTCCCCCCTCAGCCTCAAGCCTGGGGGAAAGGAAAGGGCCTGAGGCGGTAAGGAATGGTGGGCGTTGGAGTCCAAAACACCAGGAGGGAGGGCCCAGGTTGGCCCATGCCTGCATTAAAGCCTTACATCGCCTTCATGTAAGTCACCCCCATCTCAATTATAAGTCCTATTTTCATGAGATTTTTGCAGTTTGGAGAGTTCGCTTTCCATAATAATAGTTTCAAAAACTACACTCCATTTATCCTTCTGTATTTTGCCTAGCGACTGATAGATATAAATAATGTATTCATTTATTTATTTCATGTATTTCTACCCCGCCCTAGAGCCCGCAGGGCCCGACCCGGACCGGCCCCGGACCGACCGCGGCCGAGCTACCCCGCCCTTCTCCCCCCGAAGGAAGACTCAGGGCGGTCTCCCATAAGCATCATGTGATGCCATCAGCATATAACAGCAAAGATTACAGTTAAAACAGTAAAATCATTAAAAAACATTATACAAATTCATTCACAGTTCATTAAACTCAACTCATTCTGAGGATGGAAGGCCGACAGGACTCCATACCTGATAACTTCTATCAATGCCTTGAGGCCATTACTGGATGGCTGCATGCCAGCAGGTTGAGGCTGAATCCAGCGAAGACGGAGATCCTTTGGCTAGGTCGCCCGGACGGAGGGGCGATCCGGTTGCCTACCCTGGATGGCGTGACATTACTCATGTTCCTCATGTTACATCTGAACATGAGGAAGAACTTCCTGACTGTGAGAGCCGTTCAGCAGTGGAACTCTCTGCCCCGGAGTGTGTTGGAGGCTCCTTCTTTGGAAGCTTTTAAGCAGAGGCTGGATGGCCATCTGTCAGGGGTGATTTGAATGCAATATTCCTGCTTCTTGGCAGAATGGGGTTGGACTGGATGGCCCATGAGGTCTCTTCCAACTCTTTGATTCTATGATTCTATACGCGGGAGTCTGGGAGTCCTTTTAGACCCTCTGTTGACAATGGGGACCCAGGCCTCCTCTGTGAGCAGAGTCGCATTTTACCATCTGCGTTAGGCTAGGCGACTGGCTCCCTATCTGTCCAGGGATGACCTGGCCATGGTGATCCAGGCTATGGTCACCTCAAGATTGGACTATTGTAACGCCCTCTACATAGGCCTGCCTTTATTGGTGATTCGGAAACTTAAACTAGTGCAAAATGCTGCTGCCCTTCTTCTCGCAGGGGTTTCAATGAAGTGTCATATCACTCCAGTCCTGCAGCAACTGCACTGGTTGCTGATTGAGTATCTCTCTTTTTCCATTGTGTGTGTGGTTGGATTTAATCCTGTGTGTTTATTCCCTTTGTCCATAACTGTTCTCCCCTGATGCAGAGTCATAGATATTGAGGTCCCATGTACACTGCAATTATAATCTAGATTGGTCTGAATTGTATGGCAGTGTAGATGCATCTAATCCAGTTCAGTTGATTTCAGTCTGCATTATAAGAGTCTCCACTGATCATATAATCGTATTCAAACTGCATTATATGGCAGTGCAGATGAAACCTGAAACAATAGCAATGTAGAACCTTTTATACCAGGAAATGCTTGCATATTAGAAATGTCTGTAGTTGTACTTGGAGATTACTGAAGCATTTCTTCATTTCTAAGGCATTCTTAGCCATCCTCATGTTTGTTTTCCAAATAGAAAGATGATGATATAGAAGAAGGGGATCTTCCAGAGCATAAGCGCCCGCCTGCACCAATAGATTTCTCTAAGATTGACCCCAGCAAGCCTGAGAACATTTTGAAAATGACAAAGAAAGGGAAGACTATTATGATGTTTGCCACAGTGTCTGGGGAACCTACCGAAAAAGAAACAGAAGAAATTACAAATCTGTGGCAGGGGAGTCTTTTCAATGCCAACTATGATGTACAGAGGTAAGCATTTTCTTTAGAATCCCAAAACTCTTTGCTGTTCAATTTAATTCGAATTCTGAAAAAGTAGGTATTGGAACTAACTGACTTTACCTCTAAGAATATATCTAGTAGACAGGTGTTTATGTTAATCTGTTGTATTTATTTATTTATTTATTTGCTATACTTGTATACCGCCGTTTCTCAGCCTAGCCGGCGACTCAACGCGGTTTACAACAACTTATAACAAACAACAGTATACAGTTTAAAAACATAAAAACACAATCCACAATACATATATCAATAAACAATCCAATTCATCTCTTGACTAAAATCGCGATCCAGTTTCGTCGTCCAAATTGCCAGTCCTTCAATCATTACACTTATTGCACTGAGTTAACCGAACGCCTGCTCGAACATCCAGGTTTTTAGTCTTTTCCGGAATACCATCAATGAGGGGGCTGATCTTACCTCCATGGGGAGGGCGTTCCATAGCCGCGGGGCCACCACAGAAAAGGCCCTGTCTCTCGTCCCCGCCAGCCGCACCTGTGAAGCAGGCGGGATAGAGAGTAGCCCCCCCCCCAGAAGATCTTAGGGTCCTGGTGGGCTGATAGGCTGAGATACGTTTGAATAGGTAAGTTGGGCCAGAACCGTTTAGGGCTTTAAAGGCCAACGCCAGCACTTTGAATTGAGCCCGGTAGCAGATCGGCAGCCAGTGGAGCTGGTGCAGCAGAGGAGTTGTATGCTCCCTGCGCTCCGCTCCAGTTAGTATCATGGCTGCCGAGCGTTGGACTAATTGGAGCTTCCGGGCCGTCTTCAAAGGCAACCCCACGTAGAGAGCGTTGCAGTAGTCTAAACGGGATGTAACCAGAGCGTGGACTACCGTGGCCAAGTCAGACTTCCCAAGGTACGGGCGCAGTTGGCGCACGAGTTTTAACTGTGCGAATGCTCCCCTGGTCACCGCCGAAACCTGGGGTTCCAGGCTCAGCGATGAGTCCAGGATCACACCCAAACTGCGAACCTGTGTCTTCAGGGGGAGTGCGACCCCATCCAACACAGGCTGTAACCCTATACCCTGTTCGGCCTTACGACTGACCAGGAGTACCTCTGTCTTGTCTGGATTCAATTTCAATTTGTTCGCCCCCATCCAGACCGTCACAGCGGCCAAGCACCGGTTCAGGACCTGGACAGCCTCCTTAGTAGCAGGTGGGAAAGGAGTGACAGAGTTGGACATCATCCGCGTACAGATGACATCGCACTCCGAAACTCCGGATGATCTCACCCAGCGGCTTCATGTAGATGTTAAACAACATGGGAGACAGTATTGAACCCTGAGGAACCCCACAAGACAAAGGTTGTGGGGTTGAACAGGAGTCTCCCAATAACACCTTCTGAGACCGCCCCTCGAGGAATGAGCGGAGCCACTGCAGAACAGTACCTCCAAGACCCATCCCCGCGAGGCGTCCCAGAAGGATACCGTGGTCGACGGTATCGAAGGCCGCTGAGAGGTCCAGCAGCACCAACAGGGACACACTCCCCCTGTCGAGCTCCCGGCGCAGATCATCCACTAAGGCGACCAAGGCTGTCTCGGTACCATGCCCCGGCCTAAAGCCAGACTGTGCCGGATCCAGATAATCCGTGTCTACCAAGAATGCCTGGAGTTGTGAGGCCACCACACGTTCCATGACTTTGCCCAAAAAGGGGAGATTGGAAACAGGCCGATAGTTGACGAATTGAGTGGGGTCCAGTGATGGGTTTTTCAACAGCGGTTTTATTACAGCTTGTTTTAAGCTGGCTGGAATTTTGCCCTCCCGAAGGGAGGCATTAACCACCACCTTCACCCACTCGGCCAATCCCCCTCTGGCCTCCTTCAGAAGCCAGGATGGGCAGGGGTCTAGGATGCATGTGGTAGCTCTCATTCCTCCAAGCACCTTGTCCACATCCCCGGATTGAACCAATTGAAATGAATCCATCAAAACCGGACAAGCAGATGCTCGTGTTACATCCTCAGAGACTGCCGTTAATATGGTGTCCAGACCAGAGCGGATCAAAGCGACTTTGTCTGCAAAGAACTGAGCAAAGGCTTCACAGCGAACTCCCGAGTCATCAGGGCACCCATCCTGGATGGTGGGTTTTAAAAGGCCTCTGACAACTCGGAACAGTTCAGCCGGACGGTTCTTTGCAGACGCAATAGTAGCCGCAAAGAAAGTCTTCTTTGCGGCTTTTATTGCCGCGGCATATGCCCTTAAAAAGGACACAAACCGTGTTCGATTTGGCTCGCTCGGATTCGAACGCCACACGCTCTCTAGTTCCCTCTTCTTTCGCTTCAACGCTGCCAGCTCCTCAGTGAACCAAGGAGCTGGTTTAGCTCGGCTACTTGAGAGGGGACGTTCTGGAGCGATCGTGTCTATTGCTCTAGCCATCTCCCCATTCCAGAGAGCGACCAGGGCATCGACAGGATCACCAACCGAGGCGGCGGGAAATTCCCCAAGAGCCGTCAGGAATCCATCCGGATCCATAAGCCTCCTGGGGCGGACCAACTTAATGGGTCCTCCACCTCTGCAGAGGTTAGGGGGTGCAGTTAGTCTAAAGCTGACCAGGTGGTGGTCGGTCCATGGCAACGGAGAGATGTACAACTCCTCAACACCGCCACCTTCCTCCCATCCCTGGCAGAAAACCAAGTCCAATGTGTGTCCAGCACTGTGGGTGGGGCCAGATACCTGTTGGGACAGCCCCATGGTTGCCATGGCAGACATGAAGTCCTGAGCCGCTCCCGATAAGGCGGTCTCGGCGTGGACATTGAAGTCCCCCAGCACAAGCAGCCGCTGGGACTCCAATGCCAGGTCCGAGACCACCCCCGCTAGCTCAGTCAGGGAGTCTGTAGTGCAGCGAGGTGGACGGTACACTAACAGAATCCCTAATCTGTCCCGGTCACCCACCCTCAGGTGGACGCATTCAAAATTTGTTGACTGCGGGATGGGGGCCCTGGTCAGAAGAATGGAATCTCTATAGACCACTGCAACCCCGCCTCCCCGCCCTCCGGATCTTGGCTGGTGCTGCACAGAGAAACCTGGCGGGCAAAGCTGGGTCAGATTCACACCTCCAGCTTCGTCCAGCCAGGTCTCTGTGATGCACGCCAGATCTGCCCGTTCATCCAGGATTAAATCCTGGATGAAGGCTGTTTTGCCATTGACAGATCTGGCGTTCAACAGCACCACCTTCAATCCGGAGGGACCGCCATCCTGGTTACACCAATTTACCGTATCGGGAGACCGATTTGGAATTACTAAAGTTGTTGTACGGTCCCTAGGCCGAATTCGGGGTCTCCTTTTCCCGTATCTCCCCCTCCCCACCACGACTTCTATGGGGGCTCCCCGACCAACGGAACATCCTCCAAATTTATATTGTATATGCATATTTGGCTGGAGTGACACGTAAAAATGTACCTGTTCTAACTTGCATACAAATTTAATTTCAGAACTTATCTGTAACTTGGGGACTGCCTGTAACCATTCCTCAGCACTATCTGTGCTGCCAAAGACTGAGAGGAATCTACATCTAGGAGGCCACATACATCTCACTCTGAAATTAAATGCACGTGCAACAAACCTGTATTTTTACTTTTGCAATATTATTAGAGTAAAAAACATCACCCACAAAATCTTTGTGAGCCTCCCCCTTTTCTTTATTTGGGTAAAACTTCAGAAGCCTTACAATAATCAAAGCTCTTTTGAAAAATTCCAGGTTTATTGTTGGCTCAAATCGCGCCATCTTCATGCTTCGTGATGGAAGCTACGCATGGGAGATCAAAGACTTCCTGATAAATCAAGAGAGGTGTGCTGATGTGACTCTGGAAGGTCAGGTATACCCTGGCAAAGGAGCCAAGGAGAAAGAGAAAGAAAAAAATAAGTCTAGTCCTGAAAAAGCCAAAAAGAAAAAAGCGACTGAAAAGAAATCTGAAACACCGAAAGACAATAATCACGCAAGCAAACCAAAAGAAGATCTATGATGCCAAATAAATTGCACTGAATATTAGGAGGAGGAGTTGTTTTGGGGAGAAGAACAGCGTTGGAATGGGTTTCAGGGTGGAGATGATCAAGGCGACAGTTTACTTATTAATGTGAAGCGTATATTTAGTAACAACAAAGTTAATGGTTAATATCTGGAGACTGCCTGGTGAGTGGTGGCTCATCTACTCTCAGTTAATTGTTTAACTGTAAAATTGGAAAGTATGTGTAATTTCAGTATTAGGGACTTTACCCTACGGAGAGGAAGAAGACCTTTCTCCTTTGAAGTCCTATGTAGCAAGTTTCAAGGAATCGGCAGTGTAAATGATTCAAGGGTGATGAAGAGGTAGATAAAAAAGATACCTACATTTCTTGAAGTTCCTACATTTTTCCAGCATTTTAATTAGTTCAGGAAATTAGTATACTTTCAGAACCATTGGGTCTCAAAATACTACCGAAAGAACAAAATACTAGAAGCACAGTTCTGAGGGACACAAGTATTTTGCCTGTTCTTATTCCAGATAATAGCAGTCAAATCCTGCTAAAATTAAACTTTTTTCCGTTGAATTAACAGGAATAAAGGTATGAGCTGCCTTGAGTCAAGCTGGGAGAGGCAGAATATAAAGTAAATAAAGGGACCATTTCACTTACTGTCTTACTCTCTTATAGGACATTTGATTGAAATAAAGCAGTTGAAAGGAGAAGAGAAAAGGGTACAATTAACTCTGAAGCCACCTGGAAATATGTTTCAGGGCTTATTTTTGTTTTTGAGATTGTGTTTGTTCAAGAATGTTAAACATAAAGAACATCCTCAAGCAGGCGCCTATTCCAAGTTAGGGACTGAATGCAGTTAGGCCACACTTCATTATTTTGTTACTTTGCCAGAAAAGCCCACTTAAGATACTTAAAATATCCTCTTTGGAGATTTATTTCAAAGGGTTTTGTTTTTTTTTTTAAAAAAAAGAATGCTCAAGGACTTCTTGTCAACATGAATAATCCTTGCAGAATGCCAATAAATTTATATGCCTTTCAAAGCAGATTGCTGTTTCACCTACTATGTGTTCCTCCTACTATGCCTCGTTGCACCTTTGATCATCTCAGAATGAAAGTGGAGTGATATTTGCAACTGCAACTTGTTTTTAATTGTTTTACACTTGTACATCAAAACTAACTGAAAATTTGGGCTAAACTAATAGATATATGTGGTGTTTATATAGATATGTGTATTGGGTGTTACTTAAGAGAAATTGTATAGGTGGATCTTATGACTGTGCTGCAAGTAAGAATGGCTTGAGGAAGAAAGAGGCTCTTGGGGTAAGTTTACTTCGTGAAATCGAAGTAAACCTCTGAGGATGCCTGCCATAGATGCAGGTGAAACATCAGGAGATAATGCTTCTGGGACATGGCCGTATAGCCCGAAAAACTTAGAGCAACCCAGTGCTTCTGGCCATGAAAGCCTTCGATAATACAATATTGACATTTTCTTTTCTGAGCATACCTTTAAGGTTGGGGCAACTGCCAGAAGTATTGCAGGCAGCTGCAGAGCTTGAAAGCAATTAATAACAAATAACAATTTCTTTGTTGTGGATATATTTTTGAACCACCAAGGCTTGTTTCTTCATCGCTTGCTTTCAGCTTTAATTTTAACATCACCAATTATTATTAGTAATATTAATATTGATCTCATTGCAGAACTGTTATTGTAATTCTTACAATAGGGATGGGAAAGCACTGGACTCCCAGATATTTTGGTTTACAAAACATCTATCATGCCCCCTTCACCATGACCAATGATAGCAGACTATAGGAGTTGGTCTAGAAAACATCTTGGGGACCAAATATTCCTCACCCTGATTTATAAGACGATTTATAAGGAGTACTATTGCAATTACTCTTTTTTTGTAATTAATCGCAGTAAAAGGTAAAGGTTTCCCCTTGACATTAAGTCTAGTCATGTCCGACTTTGGAGGTGGGTGATCATCTCAATTTCTAAGCTGAAGAGCTGGTGTTCGTAGATGCCTCCAAGGTCATGTGGCCAGTATGACTTCATGGAGCGCCGTTACTTTCCTACACATATTTGCATGTATTCGAACTGCTAGGTTGGCAGAAGCTGAGGCTGACAGGAATCCCAGATTCACTCCCCAGATTCAAACTCCTGACCTTTGGAAGCAAGTTCAGCAGTTCAGCGGTTTAATCAATAATAATTTGAAGTTACAGGAAAGTAGTTTTCAACTGAACATTAGACAGAACTTTTTGACAGTTAAGATAACGTCACCAATAGAATATTTTGCTTAGAGAGGTTCTTCTTCCCTGGACACCTTCAGAAAGAGTATAGACAGCTATATGCTGGGGATGCTTTAGCTGGAGATCCTGCACTGAGCAGGGGGTTGGACTTTATGGCCCATAAAGCCCGTTCCAACTGGTCACTTTCTGTTGGAAACCACATGCAATTTTGTTTCCAGAAATATTAATTTAAACTGACCTAGAGAGTGGAAATCAAAAGTCATTGTAAGTGTTGGGAGCTTCCTGGGAATGTTTCAGAATGTCTCTCCTCCATTCCCCCGAAACCTGGAAAGGACATGAAAATAAACAGCAATTTCCCAGTTTTTCCAGTACAGCCAGATGGGCCCACAAAGATTCATTGACTTCTTCCTTTGAGCCACTAAAAGATGTACCATTAACATTTGTGTTCTGGAAAATATCCCTCTTTCATCTCTGAATTCTACTTTCCCTCATGCTCAGGAAAGGATTCTGTCTTTCGTCAGCTGCATCTATCAAAGCCATTGGAGCAAGACTAGCCTGTACCAGATACCAGAAGAGCCATAAAGTTTAACCTTAGGTCTTTAGGCTCTGTTTTGGTGTTGTCGTGTGCCTTCAAGTCATTGCTGACTTACGGTGACCTTAAGGCAAACATAGTGGTGCAGCAGGTTAAACCACTGAGCTGCTGAACTTGCTGACTGAAAGGCCGGTGGTTTGAATCCAGGGAGTGGGGTGATCGCCTCCTGTCAGCCCCAGCTTCTGCCAACCTAGCAGTTCGAAATCATGCAAATGTGAGTAGATCAATAGGTACCGCTTCTGCAGGAAGGTGATGGAGCTTCATGCAGTCATGCTGACCACATGACCTTGGAGGTGTCTACGGACAACACAGGCTCTTCAACTTAGAAATGGAGATGAGCACCACCCCCCAGAGTCGGACATGACTATATTTAATGTCCTTTACCTTTGGGCAAACTTATCAGTTTAGAATTTTCTATAAATCCAGGTTTGTGGTACATGCTTAGGAATGCACTTTTACATGGGAGGCGACAGCACACCACTAGTTAAATGGAAGGAAAATATGGAAAGTAGGTTACCCAGCATGAGATGCAGTGACTTAAAAATAGTTAGCCCTGTATCTATTTTTGCTGTTGAAATATGAGGATTATAGGAGCCTCAGTACACTTACTTTGAAATCAGGACATTTGTCTCTAACCCAAATTCATAGGGTCTTCCAAGGCAGTATTTATTTCTTTAGGCCCTTACACTGTGAAGTTGTTGTTTTTTTGAAGTCCTATTGCTTCTAGGCTAAGCTTAAAATATCACAGAGGATTTAAAATGTTTTAAATGCTTTTACAGTAAAGAGGTTTCTCTTACTGGGGCAGATTTACACCAGGTCAAACTCCCCAGTGTAGATGAGCCCTACATGTATTTCATACACAATTATAGAAAGGATAATTCTGTTACTTTTCCAAAATTGCACGTATGCCGGCAGTTCATCACAAGGAAGTAATCAAACACAAACCACGACAAAAGTGTTCAAAGATTGCATCAAAACTTTTAATCCAGTAAATGGTGTGTTCCAAATAGCTGGGTGTTAAATTGTAAGCAAATACATTTGGAAGTAACGTCGCAATTTTTAAAAAATCATTACAAAAACTGGATGCCAAGAGAGGACCACATTCTGTGGCCATAAGAAAGTTTTCAAGTGCAAAGCTGACAATCTGAGGAGAAGTGTTTCCAAACCCTTGTTCCATCCTAGCTTTGCTCTCTTCAGATTTAATCCTTTTTTTTTAGTGCCTTTGCAATAAATAAATAGAAAATATATCTCTTTATTTGGACAGGAACTTTTAAGAAAATATACAAAACACTATACATCTAGTTCCGAAAAAGGACCAGCTATTTCGGGTAAACTGGCATGTGCACACCAAAACCCCCCACAAAGGGTCAAAGAATGATGTCTGTGGGGTGAAGGTTCAAGGGAAGCAATTTGCTACATTACAGCCTTTGAAAAGCAGTGATTCACAAGTTGTGAATGGTCAGTTCTTGTAATAACTATTATACATCCTAACATCAGTTGGTCATGTAACTATGAAAGAAACGGTTTGGTGATACTGATATCACCAAATAATAACAAGTTGATGGCTGCTGAGATTTGGCTTTCTAATCCAAGTAGGGGAAATTTACATATATTAATTTAGATGCCAAAGCACTGGATCAACATTATGTGCTGACATCCCATGGATATTTCCAATTATTATATGTAACACGGCCCAACGGAAAATAATTATCTTGGTGTCTTGGTTTTTAGCCTCTTCCTGGGGTTCTTTGGGGCACTGATTCAGAAAATTGCATAATGGAGAACTTCACCAACTCTAGTTTTTTCGATATGGTTATTACAATTTTCTGTGGTCGAGCCGAGGAAAGCGGGTATATGGCATATGTTCTGTATCTCAAAAACTAGAGTTGATAGCTGCCATTTTTGGAATCAACAGGTCAGATATACCCAGTTCTAACATTTGAGGCACCAAAATGTGTATTGTTCAGTGTAAAGCATTTCTTTATCTAGGACTTTTTCATCCAGCAAACCTCAAGATTTTGTGAAGACTACCAAACAATCTCTTGTACATATTGTGAATTGTCAAGTTGTTGTACTAGTTATTTTACTTTCTGGGTTGTTGTGAGTTTTTCAGGCTGTATGGTCATATTCAGAAGCCTTCTCTCCTGACATTTTGCCTGCATCTATGGCAGGCATCCTCAGAGGTTGTGAGGTCTTGGGAATGCTTTAGGGAACCAACAAATGCTACGGTCAGCAAAGGACAAGAGGGATCCTCTCACCTCTGCAGGAGTCTACCGTATACCATGCAGCTGTGGACAAGTCTACATAGGGACCACCAAACGCAGCATGCCCAAACACGAATCAAGGAACATGAAAGGCACTGCAGACTACTTCAACCAGAGAAGTCAGCCATAGCAGAGCACCTGAGGAACCAGCCTGGACACAGCATATTATTTGAGAACACAGAAATGCTGGACCACTCTCACAACCACCATGTCAGACTACACAGAAAAGCCATTGAAATCCACAAGCATGTGGACAATTTCAACAGAAAGGAGGAAACCATGAAAATGAACAAAATCTGGCTACCAGTATTAAAAAAAACTCTAAAATTAGAACAGCACAACAACAGAGAGGAAACAAACAAGGACATCTAATCACCTCTCAACAAAAGATTGTTCCAGGCACTGCCAGGCAATCAAATGCTAATCAAGGTGGTCAGTTGAAACATTCACACCTAGCTCCAGCAGACAAGAGTCCTTTGTCCCACCCTGGTCATTCCACAGATATATAAACCCCTTTTCCTAGTTCCAACAGACCTCACTACCTCTGAGGATGCTTGCCATAGATGCAGGCGAAACGTCAGGAGAGAATGCCTCTAGAACATGGCCATATAGCCCGAAAAAACCTACAACAACCCAGTGATTCTGGCCATGAAAGCCTTCGACAATACGTTGTGAGGTCTGTTGGAAACTAGGAAAATGGGACATATTTATTTTATTTATTTACTGTATTTGTATACTGCCCTTCTCAGCCCTCAGGCGACTCAGGGCGGCATCTGGAATGTCCAGGGTGGGAGAAAGAATTCTTGTCTATTCGAAGTAGGTGTGAATGTTTCAATTGGCCACCTTGATTAGCATTTAATGGCCCAGCAGTTTCAAAGGCTGGCTTCTTGCTGCCTGGGAGAATCCTTTGTTGGGAGGTGTTTAGCCGGACTTGTCAAACAGACAAGAGTTCTTTCTCCCACCTTGGACATTCCACAGATATATACACCCCATTTTCCTAGTTTCCGACCTACCTCACAACCTCTGAGGATGCCTGCCATAGATACAGGCGAAACATCAAGAGAGAATTTTTCTGGAACATGGTTGTACAGCCCGGAAAATACACAACATCCCAGTGATTCCGGCCATGAAAGCCTTCGACAATATATTTTCTTTTCTTTTGTAAGACATTCTAAATTACCAAAGTGCCAGTGATAGTAGTTTGCTTCTACTTCTCCACAGTTATTAAACAGATGTTTGGCCTCACTTGTAGGGTTGTCTGTGCTGGCCCTTTACACTGATTTCAACCACAAGTTGTTCCTGGATGTCCAAGACAACATCAAGGGACTTTTGGTTGGTAATGCAGGGTAAAACCAGTTAACCTGGAGCCCTTCCGCACAGCCATATAACCCAGAATATCAAGGCAGAAAATTCCAGAGTTTCTGCTTTGAACTGGATCATCTGAGTCCACTCTGCCATATACCCTAGTTCAAAACAGATAATGTAGGATTTTATTCAGCTGTATGGAAGAGACCCCAGTTCTTGCCATTGCTATGAGGGTTGAATGAAAAGTAATGCCTCCACCTTCGTAACTCCTCAACAGATGGCAGTACTGGTATGCGGCAGGTACTGGCTTATTCAGTAGACTCTCCTCTACAGTTCCATTTTGGTAGGAAGCCTTAACATGGAACAGTTGTGTTGTTAAAGTGCAAAGTATGGAACCCTGTGCAGATGGTTGGTCAATGCGACTTAAGCAATGTGCAGTCATTGAATTCTTGACAGCAGAAAGTGTCACCCCAAAGGAGATTCATCAGAGAATGCAAGCTGTTTATGGTGATTGTGTTGGTGTGAGTACTGTGCATCATTGGGTGAGTAAGTTTAAAGATGTTAAGGTGACATCTTCTTTCTTAACAGTCGATAGGCTCTTGCAATCTGTTTAGGAGCTACGAAGGTGGAGGCATTACTTTTCATTCAACCCTCGTATAACTTGGAACAGAACATGTAAACCGCTCAGCTGAATCCAAAGCCGGTCCAAAATAGTAGTGCTCTGGATTATGATGTACCTGTTTATGAGCCCTGTGACCCATTTAACACTTAAACCCCCCTTTTGTGTTCAATGTACACAGTGTCCCTTCAAGTGGCCCAACATTCCAGAAAGTTGTGGGGTTCCAACCAATTTTTTGCTTGCCATTTAATACAGACTTTAGATTATACTTTTATATTTACATAGCCAGTAGCTCCAATTAGAAGTACGACTTTTTCCTGAGTAGTTGTTTTGAAAATGAGTATTTGAAGGCTACAATAGGAGAAGAAGCACTGTGTACCTGAGACCCCTGTGCACAAACACGAGAAAGGCTGTAGTTGTGCTACAGTGAGTGTGAAATTAAAGATCAGGAACCTAATAGTACCTAATCAAGTATTCCAGTATTCTGTTCACACAGTGGCAAACCCAATGCCTTTCCAAAAGGACATGGCTACAAAGGATGAACTTCTCCTTGCCTTCATGTTTGTCTGCGAGAAGAGGACAGTTGACCCATTCTTCGTAAGCAGATCAATGAACTTGACTTGCAGTGGTTCAGGAATGCTGGTAGGCCGATGCGGCCCCCTTAATTCATTTATAATAAGATTTCTTTTATGTACATCAACAAAATATATTACATCTTTTAAGGGCCACGGGCACTGCTGTCCTCAATGTCTTCTCTGTTGTTGAGAAAAGCAGAAAGGTGACATGCGCAACTTCCTCACAATTTCATTTTCTTCACCACTGGAACTGGCAACGCTTGGAAGATCCTCACTGCCTCCTCGTCTGTTTTCAGCTTTACCCAGTATGGACGGAAGCTGCCCTTGTATCCAACAAAAGCAAATTTATCTGTTTGAAGAAAAAAGGTAAGAACGGTGGATGAGAAGAAGGATCTTTGAAGCAACAAGTAACTCTGCAAAACATTCTCTTTGTGTTAATGCCAAGGGGGGAAAGTTTCTGCCAATCATGAACTGGAAGACAAGTTGAGCCAAATCAGTTTACAGTGGAGTTCAGTTATAATTATTGGTATTTTCTCCAGTTTCAAAATGCAAATACTGAGCAAACGCATTGTTTATTTATTTCGTATCAAAAGCATTGCATAAATTAGTATAAAACCAATAAAAATAGAAGGAGCGCAGGTAGCTAAATATCTTTTGACCAAAAACGGGAACAGTAAAGTCTTGGTTGTTGTAGGTTTTTTCGGGCTATATGGCCATGTTCTAGAGGCATTTTCTCCTGACGTTTCGCCTGCATCTATGACAAGCATCCTCAGAGGTAGTGAGGACTGTTGGAACTAGGAAACTGGGTTTATATATCTGGAATGACCAGGGTGGAACAAAGGACTCTTGTCTGTTGGAGCTAGGTGTGAATGTTTCAACTGACCACCTTGATTAGCATTTGATGGCCTGGCAGTGCCTGGGGCAATCTTTTGTTTAAATAACCTTAAATAACCTTTTAGCTTCAAAGCCTGGCTGTCAACTACCCTATCAGACTACACAGAGAAGCCACTGAAATCCACAAGCATGTGGACAATTTCAGCAGAAAGGAGGAAACCATGAAAGTTAACAAAATCTGGCTACCAGTATTTAAAAAAAACTAAGGACAGTAAATTCCAGACCATCCGGGCCAGCTAACACCTCCAAACAAAGGATTCCTCCAGGCAGAAATCAGCCAGGCTTTGAAGCCAAAAGGCCATTAAATGCCAATCAAGATGTTCAATTGCAACAATCACACCTGCCTCAAGCGTGGGAGTTCTTTCTCCCACGCTGGACATTCCACAAATATATAAACCTCCCTTGCCTAGTTTCAAACAGACATCACAACCTCTGAGGATGCCTACCATAGATGCGGGCCAAACGTCAGGAGAGAATGCTTCTGGAACATGGCCATACAGGCCAGAAAACTCACAGCAACCCACTCTCCAGAGGAGGAGTCTATATGTTTACTTGGACTGAATCTACACTGCCAAATAATTCCGTTTGAACTGCACAACATAGTGTAGCTCCATCTAATGCATTGCATTATATGGGACTATGCTGACTATATTATGCAATTCAAATTGCATCATTTGGCAGTGCAGATTGAGCCTATGGCTCCATCTATACAGGCACTATAATCCGGTTTGAGGTTATTTCAGGCTCTGGAAAGATCCTGAACAAGCAATGCCATGTTGTTCCACACTTTTTGATCATTTATTGAGTATTGATGGAAGGAAAAGCAGGAGCCCACTGAGCTTTAAAATTACCAGGAAGCATATAAATTCACAACATCAAAATGGAGCGCCTGGTGGCACAATGGGTTAAACCCTTGTTGGCGGTTCAAATCCGGGAAGCAGGGTGAGCTCCCATCTGTCAGATCCAGCTTCCCATAGGATGGTAAAACATCCAGGCATTCCCTGCGCAATGTCCTTGCAGACGGTCAGTTCTCTTACACCAGGAGCAACTTGCAGTTTCTCAAGTCGTTCCTCAAACACACACACACACACACACACACACACACACACACACAAAATCAAATATTTAAATGTAAGGTTCTTAAAAATTATTTTTACCTTTTAATTTAAAGCCTGTCTCTGCTCCAAGCCTATCCAGGATTTTAGTCCATGGGCTTTTTGAATTTAATTTTCCTTTGGATGTCATCACCACTATGGAACTAGAGGAGGAAAAAAAGTGCATTAGCCTATTGAAGCATTTATCAATTGGAAGTGCTGCTGGAAGTCCTCAGGAGTGCTCTAAATGAGACTTATTATGCAAATGGCCTGCTTTAGTTTTGCAAATTTATTACGGAGTCGGAGGACAACGTTGCCGCTGCCTTCATCTTAAAATGCCCACTCTGCCAATATTTTCCAATGGCTTTCATTTGTTTCTTTCCCAGAAAATGCACTGCAGTAAATAGCTACACACTGGGTTGCTGTGCGTTTTCGGGGCTGTATGGGCATGGTCTAGAAGCATTCTCTCCTGACGTTTCACCCATATCTATGGAAGGCATGCTCAAAGGTTGAGGGGTCTGTTGGAAATTAAGTAATTGAGGTTTATATATCTGTGGAATGTCCAGGGTGGGAGAAAGAACTCTTGTCTTTGAGGCAAGTGTGAATGGTGCAATTGGCCAGCTTGATTAGAACTGAATAGCCTTGCAGCTTCAAAGCCTGGCTGCTTCCTCCCAGGGGAATTCTTGGTTGGGAGGTGTTACATGGCCGCCTTGATTAGCATTTCACAGATATATAAACCCCAATTACTCCTCAACCTTTGAGGATGCCTGCCACAGATGTGGGTGAAACGTCAGGAGAGAATGCTTCTGGAACATGGCCATACAGCCCGATAAAATGCATAGCAACTCAGTGATTATGGCCATGAAAGCATTCGATAGCTACACACTGTTTTCTAAGCAAGACCATTGAGTGCCCTCAAATTAGAAGAACATTTGAACACAATCCTGTTTGTCTCCAATCATTCATATGCTTTTCTGATATCCTGCAGCCATTCTATACAAATCAGATCCGCTTACATCGGACTTTTGGAATGGATTGATAAAAGTGGAGTATATGAGGGTTGAATGAAAAGTAATGCTTTCACCTTTGTTACTTGGGTTTGGATGGGAATATTTTAATAAATCAAATGCAGAAATAATCCTTAGAATGTGTTCTATTCACTTTTCCACATAATCACCAGACAATTGGATACAAGTTTTCTGAAGCCATCACGGAAGAAGTCAACACTCTGTTTCCGCAACCCATCGTGCACAGATCTTCCAATAGCCAAGCAAAGGCATAATGTGACCCACACATTCTTGTGAAATGCCGATTATGTTAAAAATCTCTCTCTGAGTGATACAACGATTGTCCTGAATCAATCTATAAATCTTTTGCTTGTGAAACTCAGTGGTTATTGTCGCAGGACGTCCAACTCTTTGTCATGCAAGTCAGATGTTCCCACCTCAACATCTTTAAACTTTCTCACCCAACAACACACAGTACTCACATCAACACAATCACCATAAACAGCTTGCATTCTCTAATGAATCTCCTTTGGGGTGACACCTTCTGCTGTCAAGAATTCAATGACTGCACGTTGCTTAAGTCGCTTTGATCGACGGTCTGCGCAAGGTTCCATACTTCGCACTTTAACAACACAACTATTCAATGCTAAGGCTTCCCGCCAAAAGGGAACTATAGAGGACAGTCTACTAAACAAGCCAGTACCTGTTGCATACCAGTATTGCCATCTGTTGAGGAGCTACCAATGTGGAGGCATTACTTTTCATTTAACCCTCGTAAATAGACATAATGATAATAATTTTGCCTCACTGATGTACAGTGATTGGGTGAGGAAGGGATACAATAAATAGTGGCTGTACATTGGTAGCCACGGTGGGTGCAATCATTCCTTTATTCTGCAGGTAAAATAATAATAATAATAATAATAATAATAATAATAATAATAATAATAATAAGCTGTTCCCTGCCAGGCTTTGCTGTGGCCCAGTCTGGTGATCTGAAAAATAAAGTAACGAGAAAGTGTTGGTTTCTAATATATGTAATTTCTTTGTGCTTGCGGGGAAACAGTATTTCTTGCTGTTTCTTTGTCTTTGATGTGGAGATTGTCTGGTTGGCCTACTCTCGAGCATGCAACATATCACTGTCCTTCTTTAAGGGTCCCTTTCAAATCTATGATACTATATCTGTGTGTGTATGAATCATATCTATCTATCTATCTATCTATCTATCTATCTATCTATCTATCTATCTATATCTATGGCTGGATGGCTCTTTGTCAGGAGGGCTTTGATTATGTTTTCTTGCCCCGGTGAAGGGAGTTGGACTGGATGGCCTTAAGTATTTTCTGTTGGTCATGGGGGTTCTGTGTGGGAAGTGTGCCCCGATTCTGTCATTTGTGCGGTTCAGTATGCTCTTTAATTGTAGGTGAACTATAAATCCCAGTAACTACAACTCCCAAATGTCAGTGTTTATTTCCCCCAAACTCCATCTGTGTTCATACTTGGGCGTATTGAGTGCTTGTGCCAAGTTTGGTCCAGATCCATCATTGTTTGATTCCACAGTGCTCTCTGGATGTAGGTGAACTACAACTCCCAAACTCAAGGTCAATGCCCACCAAACCCTTCCAATATTTTCTGTTGGTCATGGGAGTTCTCTGTGCCAAGTTTGGTTCAATTCCATCGTTGATGGATTTCAGAATGCTCTTTGTTTGTAGCTGAGCTATAAATCCCAGCAGCTACAACTCCCAAATGACAAAATCATAATTTTTGAGTGATAGTCACTCCTTGTGTTGTGAGATGTTTTGTTGCCAAATTTGGTGTGATTTTGTTCATTGGTTCTTTTGTTTTTAAGGTTCTCATTATGCACAGAGCATTTTTATATATATAGATAATAATAATAATATTTTAGTGTGATCCAATACAACAGCCAGCAGAGTGACCTTGTTTGCTGTGTACTAATCTTGTGCTTCTAATAATAATAATAATAATAATAATAATAATAATAATAATAGCAACAACAGCAATCACTTCAAAGACTAAAAATGCCTTTTTAGGCATAAGGTGGGCTTTTGCCCAGACATGCTACAGCAAGCATGAGCAAATTTCGGCCCTTCAGGTGTTTTGGACTTCAACTCCCACAATTCCTTACAGCCTCAGGCCCCCTCCTGAAAGGGCCTGAGGCTGTTAGGAATGGTGGGAGTTGAAGTCCAAAACACTCAGAGGGCCCAAGTTTGCCCATGCCTGTGCTGCCGGGTACGTATGCCATTTCCCTTTCACTTACTTGGCCCGGATATTATTGACATAGTTTTCTATCTGTGCTGGAATTCCTTGCAGAATGGAGTTCTTGAAGCTCATCTGATCCACGAGTTTTCCATTGTACCCATCAATCACCACTACTTGGATCCCGTCTTCAGAAAGATAGAATTTTTTTCCTTCAACCTACATAGTGCAAATAAAGGGGAAAAAATCCATATTAAAACCAGTTAAAAGTTGGAACTTTATAACCTTGGATTCCTAGAGACACGTAGTCTTTTTCTGTACTCAAACACAAATTTCGATGTTCCCCAAAAGAAAAGAAAAAGGGGCACATTTCAAAAAAGCAGGCTCCTTTCTTACTTGACAGAGGGTTAAATGATTGTATTGCCGAAGGCTTTCATGGCAGGAATCACTGGACTGTTGTAGGTTTTTTCAGGCTGTATGGCCATGTTCTAGAGGCATTTTCTCCTCACTACCTCTGAGGATGCTTGCCATAGATGCAGGCGAAATGTCAGGAGAAAATGCCTCTAGAACATGACCATATAACCCAAAAAAACCTACAACAACCTGGTTAAATGATTGAATACAATAAACCAGAATTCATATTTATTATTTATTATTTATTTATTTTCGACATTTATATGCCGCCCTTCTCACCCCGAAGGGAACTCAGAGTGGCTTACAAGTAATATGTAAATACAATATATTATATTCTTACCATAACACAATACTAGTATTATATATTATTATACTGTACTATACCATTATAGTGTAATATTATTATATACATATACTAAAATTGGATTCAACTTGTTATTCTTACTTGCCTTGATTTTTTTCCTTTATGCTTATTTGTTTTTGTTTGTTTTTAAATCACCAAACAGCCTTAAACAAAAAATACTTACGGAAATATATGCAAAGTCATCCCGGAGGTGGAAATATCTAGTTTTGTGGCTGTCTATCTTCACTTCCACAAAGTGGTCCCTCTTCTATTGAGAAGAAAAGAAAAGAAAATGGTGTCGATCTTTGTATTAGCCTTCCAAAACATTTTCTCACTAAATGTTATAATATTAACAATATTAGTATTATATATTACTATATTGTACTATACAATCACCTGAAACTGAGGATATAGCACACGTATTAGGTAAAGGTAAAGGTTTTCCCCTGACATTAATACCAGTCGTGTCCAGCTTTGGGGGTTGGTGCTCATCTCCATTTCTAAGTCGAAGAACTGGCATTTCCACAGACTCTCCCAAGGTTATCACTGGACCAAATTTGGCACAAATACCTGATATACCCAAATTTGAACACTGGTGGGTTTGGGGTGGGGGGGAGAGAATGATTTTGTCATTTGGGAGCTGTAGCTGCTGGGATTTATAGTGCACCTGCAATCAAAGAGCATTCTGAACTCCACCAACGATGGAATTGAACTAAACTTGGTCCACAGAACTCCCATCACCAACAGAGAAATACTTGAAGGGTTTGGTGGGTATGGACCTTGAGTTTTGGAGTTGCAGTTCACCGACATCCAGAGAGCACTGTGGACTCAAACAATGATGGATCTAGACCACACTTGGCACGAATACTCAATATGCCCAAATGTGAATACTGGCGGAGTTTGGGGAAAATAGACCTTGATATTTGGGAGTTGTTGTTCTTGGATTTATAGTGCACCTACAATCAAAGAGCATTCTGAACTCCACCAACGATGGAATTGAACAACGAAGTAATCACACGCGCCAGAGACCGCCGTGATGTGCTCCTCACAAGAGCCATGACAGGTGCTGACGACTGCTGGACTGACCACAGGCTAATTCGATCCTCGATGGCTCTCAAGATTGCCCCCAAGCGCAGACTCCAAGGAAGGAAGACAAGGCGCAAAATGAACACCCAAGCCCTTCAGGAGCCCTCCAGACGAGCCCATCTCCAAACAGCACTCAAGAACCATCTACCCACAGTACACCCCGAAAATGTTGAGGAACATTGGAACAAACTGAAGACCTCCATCATCCAAGCCTGCGAAGAAACTGTTGGATACCAAGCCAAGAAACATCAAGACTGGTTTGATGAAAATGACATCGAGATCCAACAGCTAATTGACAAGAAAAGGAAAGCCTTCCAAGCATGGCAGAGAGACATCAACTGTGTTGCTAAGAAAAAGATCTACGCCAGTGCAAAAGCTGAGGTCCAAAGAAGGACAAGAGAACTCAAGAACATCTGGTGGACAAAGAAGGCTGAAGAAATCCAACACCTGGCAGATACCCATGATGCTCAGGGATTCTTCAAAGCCACAAAGGTCATCTATGGACCAAGAAACCATGGCATACAGCCTCTACGCTCATCAGATGGAACCAAACTCCTGAAGGACCAAAAGTCAATTGCACTACGTTGGAAAGAACACTACCAAAGCCTCCTGAACCGCAGCTCCAATGTGGCCGAAGAGGTCCTCTCACAAATCCCGCAACAACAAACCAGGGACGAGCTTGCAGCACTGCCTAGTTTGGAAGAAGTCAGCAATGCCATCAGCCAACAGAAGAATAACAAAGCCAGTGGACCAGATGGGATCCCTGCTGAAATCTTTAAAGAGGGAGGACCTGAGCTGACACACCAACTCCACCAGCTCATAGAAAAAGTGTGGGTGACCGAGAAAATCCCAGCAGATTTCAAGGATGCCACCATCATCACCCTCTTCAAAAAAGGGGAAAGAACAGACTGCGGAAACTATCGAGGTATCTCCCTTCTAACCTCAGCTGGGAAAATCCTCGCAAGAATCCTTGCAAACCGCCTTCTGCCCCTCTCAGAAGACACCCTCCCAGAATCCCAGAAAGGCTTCCGCCCCTCCAGAGGAACAGTGGACATGATCTTCACTGCAAGACAGCTCCAAGAAAAATGCAGAGAACAAAACCAACCTCTGTACATGGCACTCATCGATGTCCACCAGACCTTCCCAGTATTTTCTCTTGGTCATGGGAATTCGGTGTGCCATGTTTGATTCAATTCCATCATTGATGGAGTTCAGAAGGCTCTTTGGTTTTAAGTGAACTATAAATCCCAGCAACTCCAGCATTACCAAATGACAAAATTAATCACCCCCAACCCTACCAGTATTCAAAATTTGGGCGTATTGGGTCTTTGTGCCAAATTTGGTCCAGTGAATGAAAATACATCCTTCATATCAGATATTTACATTACAATTCATAACAGTAGCAAAATGACAGTTATGAAGTAGCAACGAAAATAATGTTATGGTTGGGGGTCATCACAACATGAGGAACTGTACTTGGGAAGGTTGAGAACGGGGACGAGAGACAGGGCCTTCTCAGTGGTGGCCCCTCGGCTATGGAATGCCTTGCCGGTAGACATCAGGCAGGCACCTTCGTTGCTGGCGTTTCGGAAAAAGGTTAAGACCTGGCTTTACGAACAGGCATTTGGTTGAACAGTGCAATCAATCAAGGAAGACGGTAAATGGAACATAGGAATGGCACAAGGATTATGAGAACGGATCTGATTTCACTGAGGCGTTATGTTGTATGTGTTGACTGTCTTGTTCTGTTTTGTTAACTGTTGTGGATTGATGTTGTTGATCCTGTTTGTCGCACGTGTTGCGTTTTAATTGCACTGACACTGTTAATAATTTGTATCATGTAAACCGCATAGAGTCGCCTGTCTGGGCTGAAATATGCGGTATAGAAATAAAGCAAATAAATAAAATAAATAAATAAAACCACTGGACTACAGGAAAGCAAGGTTCAAACCACTGTTCAATCATGGAAACCTCCTTGGGCAAGTTATACACTCTTAGATTCGGAGGAAAGCCATAGAAAATCCCCTCTGAATAAATATTGCCAAGAAAACCCTTGGAGAAGATCGCTATAAGCCAGAGGTGACTTGAAGGTTCATAACAACAACATGTGCAAGTTAATGGATATGCAACACCAAACAATGTCTATGCATTCTGAGAGAACCAAATGAACAATTTAAAGAATTAACCAAAATCGATTCATTAAGTAAACCAGCTGTTCTTACTGAAATTGTGCTGGGAAGCTTCTTGGGCATTGGCACTTCTATAGATGGCTTTTCGGAATATTTTGGGTAGGCTTTAGCTTCACAGTCACTGCTCTCTGGGTTCCTGGGGATGTTGGCTTTGATTCGGATTCGTTCACAGCCTTTGACAGAGCAGAAGGCAAAGGGCTCTTTCTCGTGCTGAGCTCTTAGTTTGAGAAACAACAACCTGCAAAACAGATGAAATCAAGAATAACTCCATGGTAACATGGAGAAGGTACGAAGTGTAGTGCCACAGAAAAGTAGGTTATTTCACAGCCATGTCAACATCAACCCTAGATTTGGCACAAACATGCCGGATCCGAGGCAGCTCTGGGACATTTATAGATCAGGTTAAACTGTCTGGTGTAGATGAGCCCTAGAAGCCAAAAAATGATATATGGCATTGCTTTAATGACTGAAAGACTTGCAGAAGGATAATTAAAGATGGAGTTTAGGGAACCTGTGTTCCTTCAGATATTCTCAGACTCCAATTCACATTAGCCTTAGCAGCCTGGGAAATGGTAAAAAGCATTGCATCAAATATATTATTTATTTATTTATTTACAACATTTATATTCCGCCCTTCTCACCCTGCAGGGGACTCAGGGTGGATTACACATATATGGCAAACATTCAATGCCAATTTGACATACAACATATACAGACATACACAGAGGCTATTTAACTTTTTCTGGCCACCAGGGGAGCTGTCGCTTTCATCGTCCATCTGCGACACTAATGAAGTACTTCTGCATTCCCCGCATGCTTTTTTGCTGGAGTGCTTTGCTGGAGTCTTTTTTATGGCCTCATAAATTAGTTAATTTAGCCTCCCCACACTTTAAGGTGGTACCTAATTTTCCTACTTGACAGATGCAACTGTCTTTCGGGTTGCAAAGGTCGACAACAGGCTACACAATTGGTTGGAAACCCACTCCAACCCGGGCTGGCTTCGAACTCATGACATTTTGGTCAGAGTGATCTTAATGCAGCTGACACTCATCAAACTGCGCCACAATCCCGGTGCCATTCTGTTTAATATTTACACAAATGACCAGCCACTACCAGAAGGGACAAAGAGCTTAATCTATGCTGACGATTGTGCCATCACTGCTAATCATCATCATCTTTATTTATACCCTGCCACCATCTCCCCAATGGGGACTCAGAGTGGCTAACATGAGGTGAAGCCCAAAAAAATACAGTACAACACAATAAAATACAAAATGCAAAAAACAAAACTTACATCAGAAAATAATTACAGTAGCAAAACAAAACAATAAAGCAAAATTAACACAATATAAAATCAGACAGGAAGGGCAGGCCAAATGGACAAGATAAAATGATAAAATCCTGGGTGAGGTAGGAATAGAAAATGTGTAAGTGAGGGGAGCCCAAGAAGGATAAAACAGTGGGGTAAGGGAAAGGTCCATCATAGGGGCAACACTATAGATGGGGCAAACAGAAAAGCCAGGTTTTCACGTTTTTCTTGAAGTCTGCTAAGGAGTCTGCTAATGTGAAGAGCTTTGAAATGGTTGAATAGAAGCTCTCCGAAGCTTTAGGTGCCCTTACTGCCTATTACAGGGAAAGCCAGCTAATTCCTAATCCATCTAAAACAGAGACATGTGCTTTTCACCTTCAGAACAGACAAGCATCTCGAGCTCTGAGGATCACCTGGGAAGGAATCCCACTGGAGCACTGCAGCACACAAAAATATCTGGGAGTCACCCTGGACTGTGCTCTGACTTATAAAAAGCACTGCTTGACTATCAAGCAAAAAGTGGGTGCTAGAAATAATATCATGCAAAAGCTGGCTGGCACAACCTGGGGATCACAACCAGACACAGTGAAGACATCTACCCTTGCGCTTTGGTAGTCTGAATGCATATTCTTTGCTGAATACGCATGCTTAGTGTGGAATACATCTCACAGTGGATGTGGCTTTTAATGAGACATGACACATTATCACACAATGTCTATGCCCTACACCACTGAAAAAAATAGACTGTTTAGCTGGCATTATACCACCTGACATCTATCAGGAAGTTGTAGCCTGCAGTGAAAGGACCAAGGCATTGACATCTCCGGCCCAGCCTCTGTTCGGATATCAGCCAGCAAGCCAACTCAGGCTTGCTGGGATGCCAGCAAGAATCCTCAGGATGCTTGCCATAGATGCAGGCGAAACGTCAGGAGAAAATGCCTCTCGAACATGGCCATATAACCCGGAAAAACCTACAACAACCCAGTGATTCCGGCCATGAAAGCTTTTGACAATACTCGGATAATTTTGCAGTGTTCTTACCCAGTCTCTTCATCCCAATAGTAGTACCCTTTGGTAGGGTTTCGATACTCAAGTTTGTCCATTTGAAGAGCTGGGTAAAATGTACCAGTTTTGCTTGTTTTCTTCGTAAGCCGATCATGGATATCCGAGAGAATGGAGAATGTTGTCCCTTTAGGATAACAAAGCCCGACTGCGATCCAATCATTCCTAAATTAAAAGGGGAGAACCAACATCTGTTAAACCCGTGACAAACACACCAAGCCTATGCTCTAAGCCAAGATACAAGTAAAATTTAATTACGAGGATTGAATGAAAAGTAATGCCTCCACCTTCGTTACTTGGGTTTGGATGGGAATATTTTAATAAATCAAACTCAGAAATAATCCTTAGAACGTGCTCTTTAACTACCACTATTCACTTTTTCACATAATCACCAGACAATTGGATACATTTCTGCCAATGATGCACAAGTTTTCTGAAGCCGTCACGGAAGAAGTCAACACTCTGTTTCCGCAACCAGCGTCTCACAGTTCTCTCAACGTACCCATCATGGACAGATCTTCCGATAGCCAAGCAAAGCAATAATGTGACCCACACGTTCTTGTGAAATGCTGATTATGCTTGAAATCTCTCTCTCTGAGTGACAGGACAATCGTCCTGAATCAATCTGTCAACCTTTTGCTTGTGAAACTCAGTGGTTGCTGTCACAGGACGTCCAACTCTCACAACCACCATGTCAGACTACACAGAGCAGCCATTGAAATACACAAGCATGTGGACAATTTCAACAGAAAGGAGGAAACCATGAAAATGAACAAAATCTGGCTACCAATATTAAAAAAAACTCTAAAATTACAACAGCACAACAACAGAGAGGAAACAAACAAGGACATCTAATCATCCCTCAACAAAAGTTTGCTCTAGGCATTGTCAGGCCATTATATGCTAATCAAGGTGGTCAGTTGAAACATTCACACCTAGCTCCAGCAGACAAGAGTCCTTTGTCCCACCCTGGTCATTCCACAGATATATAAACCCTTTTTCCTAGTTCCAACAGACCTCACTACCTCTGAGGATGCTTGCCATAGATGCAGGCGAAACGTCAGGAGAGAATGCCTCCAGACCATGGCCATATAGCCCGGAAAAACCTACAACAACCCAGTGATTCCGACCATGAAAGCCTTCGACAATACGTCAAACTCTTTGTTTGTCATGTAAGTCAGATGTTCCCACCTCAACATCTTTAAACTTTCTCACCCAACGATGCATAGTGCTCACATCAACACAATCACCATAAACAGCTTGCATTCTCTGATGAATCTCCTTTGAAGTGACACCTTCTGCTGTCTAGAATTCAATGACTGCACGTTGCTTAAGTCACATTGACCGACCATCTGCACAAGGTTCCATACTTCGCACTTTAACAACACAACCATTCAATGCTAAAGCTTCCTGCCACAATGGAACTGTAGAGAAGAGTCTACTGAACAAGCCAGTACCTGCCGCATACCAGTACTGCCATCTATTGAGGAGTTATGAAGGTGGAGGCATTACTTTTCATTCAACCCTCGTATTTCCAAGCTAGTCAGAGGTCTCTCTCTCTATATATATATATGCTGGAGTAGACAGAACCACTTCCAAAGTAATTATATTTGCTATAATTTAGTAGCATGTATAAACCAATTCTCCGAAAGTGGGTCACCAACTCTTGCGATTCAGGGACTATTTTGGCCCACGTATTCTCTCAGATATTTATATCTCATGTTTTCACATCTATTCTAGAGGGACTTGAAATATTTAGGTGAGAACACAGTCAAATGTGTGTGGGCTTATTGGAACCATGTTCTAAGATATGCATTAATTTTTTTTCTGTAGCAGCTTGAAACTACATTACTGGACCCTGGAGTGTTGTCTGTTTGGGTCACACTCACTTATTGAAATTAATAAGCCAGATGGCCAGTTCCTCCGGAGCAGTCTTGTCCCAATGGATGGTGTAGCCTTTCTGCAGAGTGATCACAGGCTGATATTGCTGGTAGTGGGTGCTTTTACTAAGAGCCCCTTCTAAGTATAATGGATGGGTGTAGTAGTCATTTTTTATTATTTTCATCCTCGAGTTGGCTGATTTGTAGGCTTGGATGTATACCTGGAATAGAAAGAAAATCCAGTTGTTCAACTACATAGAATACCATAGACCTAACCTGTTTTGAAAATTATTATTATTAATTTATTATTATTATTATTTGAAACACAACAAGATGAGTCCACAGAAAACACTCTGCTGGTTGTTGTATTGGATCACGTCGGACACTTCCCAAATGTCTAGGACTGTGTGATGTATCGACGAATAACGCGTGCAGATCCCAGTAGGGTGGCCTTCTGCAGCTGGCAGATGGTAAATTTGTCAGCGCCGATTGTGTTTAAGTGCAGGCCAAGGTCTTTAGGCACTGCACCCAGTGTGCCGATCACCACTGGGACCACATTGACTGGCTTGTGCCAGAGTCTTTGCAGTTCGATCTTTAAATCCTCATATCGTGTCAGCTTTTCCAGTTGTTTCTCTTCAATCCTGCTGTCACCTGGGATTGCAACATCGACAATCCATACTTTGTTTTTTAACATGATCATGAGGTCAGGAGTATTGTGCTCCAAAACTCTGTCTGTCTGAATTCGGAAGTCCCAGAGTAGCTTGATGTGTTCATTTTCTGTAACTTTTTCCGGCTTGTGATCCCACCCGTTCTTTGTCGCAGGCAGATGGTCTTTGTGGCACAAGTTGCAATGAATTATCTGAGCAACGGTGTTATGCCTCTGCTTGTAATCTGTCTGCATGATCTTCTTGCAGCAGCTGAGGATGTGATCTATTGTTTCATCTGCTTCCTTGCAGAGTCCACACTTGGGATCTGTTGCCGACTTCTTTTTCTTCTTCTTCTTCTTCTTCTTCTACTTCTTCTTCTACTACTTCTACTTCTACTTCTACTTCTACTTCTACTTCTTCTACTTCTACTACTTCTACTACTACTACTTCTACTACTTCTACTACTTCTACTTCTACTTCTTCTTCTACTTCTACTTCTACTTCTACTACTACTTCTACTTCTACCTCTACTTCTACTTCTACTTCTTCTTCTACTTCTTCTTCTACTTCTACTTCTTCTACTTCTACTTCTTCTACTTCTACTTCTACTTTTTCTTCTTCTTCTACTTCTTCTTGACTTCAAAAATGCTTATGCACTGCCTGACATGTGAGAAAAGGAGTAAGAATTGTGGCAAAACAATAGGCAATAGGCATGTGCATTTCAGCCAAAAGGCATGTCATTTTTGGGTCAGTTGTTGGGTGACCCCTCATTTTGTTTACCAGGAAGTTACTTGAAAGGGGAGGGGTGATGCTGTTTCATTCGGCAGAGATTCGACCCATTGGCTACAATGGGAAACTTTAAAGGCTCAATCCTCAGCCATTTTAAGGCCTATCTGCATGAAACCTACCTCAGTTGTAGACCCCATTTACAACTGCAGGCCTGCCAAGTTTCAAAACAATTCACCAATCTACTGATTTTTTAGAATTATTTTAAGTTTTAACCATAACATTTTTTTAAAAAAGACATACCGCAAGAGAGTCACTGGTTGTGTCCATTCTCAATCAATCAGAGCATGGACACCACCAGGCTTTTTACTGATCAAGAGACATACAGAGAGAAAATCTTCTATCATGCTCCGAGAGGAGCTTTTCAATGGCCACCCTATGCTAGTGCCATGGGAAAGCGAGTTCCAAGGGCCCTCTCTGGAGGAGGAGGGAACTTTCCAAGAAAAAATGGAGGAGGCTTCTTCTGCTGGGGAGAGAAAAAGATGCCACAGATCCCCCTGCCTCAGGTATTTTGTGATGTAACTCTTTCCTTTGTATTTCTAGGTGCAAAGATGAGTGCAGATGCAGACTGTAGCCAGGAAATCAGAAGACGCTTCCTTCTTGGGAGGAGAGCAAGGTCCAGTCTCGATAAAATAGTAAAGAGTAGAGACATCAGACTGGCAACAAAGATCCATTGCCTAGTCAAAGCCATGGTATTCCCTGTAGTCACCTACGGATGTGAGAGCTGGACCTTAGGGAAGGCTGAGCGAAGGAAGAGAGGCGCTTTTGAGCTGTGGTGTTGGAGGAAAGTTCTGAGAGTGCCTTGGACTGCGAGAAGATCCAACCAGTCCATCCTCCAGGAAATAAAGCCCGACTGCTCACTGGAGGGAAGGAGACTAGAGACAAAGTTGAAGTACTTTGGCCACATCATGAGGAGACAGCAAAGCCTAGAGAAGGGAATGATGCTGGGGAAAGTGGAAGGCAAAAGGAAGAGGGGCCGACCAAGGGCAAGATGGATGGATGGCATCCTTGAAGTGACTGGACTGACCTTGAAGGAGCTGGGGGTGGTGACGGCCGACAGGGAGCTCTGGCATGGGCTGGTCCATGAGGTCACGAAGAGTCGGAGACGACTGAACGAATGAACAACAACAACAACTCTTTCCTCTCCAGAATTGAAAATATTGGCTCTCTGAATCCGATTTGCCGGTCTTTTCGTTTCCCTCTTCCCCTTCCTGTTTTCAGAAATTAAATTAAAACGGCCCACCCAAAAGTACAAATCTTGATTTGACACAAGCCTAGTAGGCAATCAAACAAGAATGATATTGACAAGCTGGAATGTACCCAGGGAAAAAAGATTTTGGTGATTGGGGCTCTAAAATCCAAGCTTTTTGAGGAAAAAAGAAGAAAAGTATCTTTAGTCTGGAATAGAGAAAACTGGGCGGTGACATGATTTTTTGTTGTTGTTTATTCATTCAGTTGCTTCTGACTCTTTGTGAGCTCATGGACCAATCCATGCCAGAGCTCCCTGTGGGCCATCACCACCCCCAGCTCCTTCAAGGTCAAGCCAGTCACTTCAAGGATACCATCCATCCATGATAACCAATGCAAGATGTATGAAGTCCTGTTAGAATGGCTTGCTAGGAAGAAGAGAGGCTTTATTTAGCCAAAATCTCAGCAGGCTGCAGCTGATACTTCAGAGAGAATGGGAAGCTTGTGTCTCTGTAGCCTCATGGCCCAGTAAGGGCACACTAATGTCCAGTCTGCTTCTATTTGAAGGCTTCCTCTACTGAACTGCTCTCCCATGGCTACTCATTCTTACCTGGGCGTACTGTCCACTACAGATAGAGCCCCTCCAATCTGGGACATCAATGCAGTCTGAATGCCGAATCAGCCAGTTATCTTCTTTGATCAGGTACGATCCAGGATATTCAGATACAGAGCCGTCTACATCATGGAAAACAGATGTTTTGTCTCCATCCATATCCAGCCCATTGAACCAAGGTCCTGGCTCTCCAAAGAATACTCTAGAAGTTATCTAAATTGAAAGACAAAACATACCCACATGTATTGATTCTGAACTGCTTAGTAACTTAATCTGATTGCTCCCCACCACCCCTTGCCACTAATATAGTGTTGTACAGGTTGACACTAGGTACCCCATTTGGACCAGCTAGTGGAGTGGTTCTCAACTTGTAGTGTTTTGTCCTACAGCCTGTTTACCAGCTGTCTTTGCAGTTTGATCTTTAAATCCTCATATTGTGTCAGCTTTTCCAGTTGTTTCTCTTCAATCCTGCTGTCACCTGGGATTGCGACATCAACAATCCACATTCTGTTTTTTAACACAATTGTGAGGTCAGGAATATTGTGCTCCAAAACTCTGTCTTTCTGAATCCGGAAGTCCCAGAGTAGTTTGACGAGCTCATTTTCTGTAACTTTTTCAGGCTTGTGATCCCACCACTTCTTTGTCGCAGGCAGATGGTATTTTATTATTATTATTATTATTATTATTATTATTATTATTATTATTATGTTGCAATCCCAGGCAACGGCATTAGGGAGGTTGAGAACCACTGTGTTAGGTGGATATCAGGCTGGTTTTGCTCTTGGAGCCCTTTGTCTTGTCAGTAACACATTTCCTGCTAGTTTTCTCAACCACAGATAGAATTCTATATCAAAGACCTGTGTGACCCACAAGGTAAAGGTAAAGGTAAAGGTAAAGGTAAAGGTAAAGGTAAAGGTAAAGGTAAAGGTAAAGGTAAAGGTAAAGGTAAAGGTTGTCCCCTGACATTAAATCCAGTCGTGTCCGATTCTCAAAGAGCTGGCATTGTCCATAGACACCTCCAAGGTCACGTGGCCAGCATGACTGCATGGAGCGCTGTTACCTTCCTGCCAGAAGGTAGGAAGGTACCTATTGATCTACTCACATTTGCATGTTTTCGAACTGCTAGGTTGGCAGAAGCTGGGGCTGACAGCAGAATCTCACATTGTCTGGAGACGTAGTGGGCCATCCAGTCCAACCCCATTCTGCCAAGAAGAAGGAAAATTACATTCAAAGCACCCCTGACAGATGGCCATCCAGCCTCTGTTTAAAAGCTTCCAAAGAAGGAGCCTCCACCACACTCCAGGCAGAAAGTTCCACTGCTGAACGGCTCTCACAGTCAGGAAGTTCTTCCTCATGTTCAAATGGAATCTCCTCTCTTGTAGTTTGAACATGAGGAAGAAGCTCACCTCGCTCCCCAGATTCGAACCTGCGACCTTTCGGTCAAGAAGCTCAGCAGATCAGCGGTTTAACCCACTGTGCCACTGGTTGCCCAAAAGGATGTTGCACCCCCTCCAAAATAGCATATGCTAGTTCCCTAAAAAATTTAACTCACGGGGACGTCTTCGAAGAAGATGTTGGTGACATTGTTGTTTGGGCAGCTCTGCCAGGCATTGTTCAGGCGGAAGGCCAGGGCACTGGTGTGGCGGCCTTCCAGGGCAGCAAATTTCCGGAACGTGCAATTCTGGACATTGATGGGTCCATCATAAAACTGAATCCCTCTAATTGGAAAATTCCTGGAACACAATTGGAGGCAGAGAGAAGAAGCAGGTGAGCAGTCTTGTTGTAATGAGTAACTAAAAGCGTGATATATATGGCAAAGAGGTAGCAGCAAAGAGAGTCAATACTTTCACAGTGAGAGGGAAAAGGAAGGGACTTGAGGCTGTCAGGAATGGTGGGAGTTGGAGTCCAAAACCCAAAGTTTGGCCATGCCTGATATAGACACTAAAACAAACCCTGAAGTAATGTAAATAATATGTTCTAATGGCTGCCTTCCCTTCAGCACTAGTAAAGATGCAGGAAATCCTATTAACATTTCATCCCAATCCCCATCCAATTAAGGATTAAGGGCAGGTTGGCATCTGTTAGAAGGGAACTCCAAGAGTTCGGAAAATTTAGTTTTTAGCCCAATCTCCCCCAATCCCAAACCTTGTATGAAGACCTGGAACCTGCTCATGAGAAGGCACTCTAAAGTGTAGTCCTTCACACAGCTATGTATCACACAAAAAGCGAAGCAAACTGTCATTGACTTTGAACAAAATGGAAAAGGTTGAAAATAAAGCTCTAGTTCAATGTTTCTCAACCTTCCCAATGCCGCAACCCCTGAATACAGTCCCTCATGTTGTGGTGACCCCTAACCATAACATCATTTTTGTTGCTACTTCATAACTGTAAGTTTTCTACTGTTAAGAATCGTAATGTAAATATCTGATATGCAGGATGTATTTTCATTCACTGGACCAAATTTGGCACAAATGCCCAATACACCCAAATTTGAATACTGGTGGGGTTGGGGGAGGGATTGATTTTGTCATTTGGGAGTTGTAGTTGCTGGGATTTATAGTTCACCTACAATCAAAGAGCATTCTGAACTCCACCAATGATGGAATTGAACCAAACTTGGCACACAGAACTCCCATGACCAACAGAAAATACTGGAAGGGTTTGGTGGGATTTATTAATAAAGTTGTACGAGAGTTGAATGAAAAGTAATGCCTCCACCTTCGTAACTCCTCAACAGATGGCAGTACTGGTATGCGGCAGGTACTGGCTTGTTCAGTAGACTCTCCTCTACAGTTCCATTTTGGCAGGAAGCCTTAGCATTGAATGGTTGTGTTGTTAAAGTGCAAAGTATGGAAGCCCAAATTGGAATACTGGTGGTGTTGGGTTGGGGTTGATTTTGTCATTTGGGAGTTGTAGTTGCTGGGATTTATAGTTCACCTACAATCAAAGAGCATTCTGAACTCCACCAATGATGGAATTGAACCAAACTTGGCACACAGAACCTCCATGACCAACAGAAAATACTGTGAAGGGTTTGGTGGGCATTGACCTTGAGTTTTGAGTTGTAGTTCACCTACATCCAGAGAGCACTGTGGACTCAAACAATGATGGATCTGGACCAAACTTGGTCATTTTTCAAATGTGAACACTGGTGGAGTTTGGGGGAAATAGACCTTGATGTTTGGGAGTTGTAGTTGCTGGGATTTATAGTTCACCTACAATCAAAGAGCATTCTGAACCCACCAATGATAGATATGCCAAACTTCCCACACAGAACCCCATGACCAACAGAAATACTGTGTTTTCTGATGGTCTTTGGCAACCCCCCCCCCCCCCCCCGGACACACACACAGTGACCCCCCTAGGGGTCCTGACCCTCAGGTAGAGAAACACTGCTCTAGGTGAAACATACTGGCCAATGGGAAGCGTCCGTCCGCTGTGATCCAAGCCTCCAGGGCCCCAGACATGGTTATCCATCATTTCGGTCCCCGTATTTCCACTTTCGCCTACAAAGAGGCTGTTCTTGATTTCTTGTTTTGATCCATCGTCATGAGGAAAGGTGCCTCCACTAGGAGAGATCAAATTGCATTTCAGCGCAACTGTTTTCAGACCAAATTTTCATTGCTAGTGTTAAATACAAAGGCATAATATAACACAGCCTCTTACCTTGCCAACGTGAGGCCAATGCCATTGTCAGCAAATCTGTAAGAAAGAAATAGAGAACACTAGAGCATCAGAATGGTTGTGTGTGTGTGTGTGTGTGTGTGTTCAATTCAGCTTTGTGTTATAATATTGCTAATCCAGTTACATGCATTTTAATAATTGACACGTCTAAGGTAAAGTTATTTAGTTGCCGTATGTTATATGTTTTCAAAGGCTTTAATGGCTTGATGTGATAAACCAACTTAGACACAGCATATTATCTGAGACCACAGAAATGCTGAACCACTCTAACAACCACCATGTCAGACTACGCAGAGGAGCCACTGAAATCCACAAGCGTGTGGGCAATTTCAACATAAAGGAGGAAACCATGAAAATGAACAAAATCTCGTTACCAGTATTAAAAAAAGACTTTAAAAATCAGGACAGTAAATAAAGAGCAACACTCAGAAAACAGGGGAATTCCAGACAGGAAACAATGAGAGCTAGCTAACACCTCCCAACAAAGGATTCCCCAAGGCAAGAAGCAGCCAGGCTTTGAAGCTGCAAGTCCATTCAATGCTAATCAAGCTGCCCAATTGCAACATGCACACCTGCCTCAAACAGACATGAGTTTTCTTCCACCCTAGACACTCCACTTGCCTAGTTTGCAGAGACAGATAAACCCTGCTTGCACTAGCCTTGGCTTGGCCTTTTAAATCGCCTTGAATAGGCAGGATTACTTTTAATATATATGTGTTACTGTGACAATTTTATACTTATATTGTTTTGTTAATTTTATGTTTATGTTGTTTACTCTGTATGTATTGACGGAAACCGATCTGAGTCCCCTCAGGGAGATAGAGCGGTATATAAAGAAAAGTTTTTGTGCTGGTACGGCTGTACCAGGAGCTCCAATTTTATTTGCTTTGTATTAAATGTTTGCTTGCAGTCCTAGGTTTCAGGGACTCTGCAGATAGGTGGCTTCCTTTGGTTGCAGTTGTAGGGCAAGTCACCTGTCCATCATCGTTAAGTTTTGGTTCCGCCCCTTGCTCAGGGCAATTGGGAAGGGAAGGGAGCCATTTTTAGTTAGTCTCAGCAAGGAAAGCTAATGTACAGGACGTGTGCAAGCTTCCCCTGTACAAAAGCTTCAACCCTTAAGACTTTCCGGGAGAAAGCAGTCTTAAGACATCAAGACTTTCCGGGGGGAAACAGTCTTAAGAGTCTCCAAAGATTTCCAGGAAAACAGCCCTAAAGACCAAAGAACTCCAGCTGGAGAATATCTAAGCCTTTACTGGTAGGTCCACTCGGTGCTTCGAGACGCAGTTCGACCCGGTAGCGGAGCCCACATCAGTAAGGGTTAGATTACAGTCAGCCTGGGAGAAGTTAAAAAGGGGATTTTCCATTTAAAGTAAAGAAGAAGTTATTGAAGACAGTTGCCTGTCCTTCGTGGGCAAGATTAGGAAGTCACCAGTTGCATAAAGCTTGGAAGCATTTGTTTAGCTTTACTGAAGACAAGAGAAGTTTCTGTTTGATTGTTCATTAATAAAGGACTTTGTTATACTTCACAAGCCATCTAAAGACCATTTGTGGTGGAAAACCTCTGAGAACTTCTCCTTGGGCCCCCTGGCTTCCCGCTGGGCAAAGGTTGCACTCCTGTTCTAAAGGAAATTCTTTACAGGCCCAGCGCGTGACAGAAAAGTTTTGTTGTAGTAGTAGTTTCCAGCAGACTTCACAACCTCTGACGATGCCTGCTATAGATGTGGGTGAAATGTCAGGAGAGAATGCTTCTGGAACATGGCCAGACAAACAGAAAACTCACTTTTAAATTCATATATATTTACCAGATGGTGGCTCCAGACACCATGCAAATCAAAACTATGGCTTGAGCTTCCAACTTGCTTTCAAATTGGCTTTCATAAAGTTTTCTTAGGCTTATAAGTAGGGTTTTTTTTTAGTCAATTCCTCTAAGACAGGGTTCTCAAACTTTTAAACAGAGGGCCAGGTCACATTCCCTCAAATTGTTGGAGGGCCGGATTATAATTTGAAAAAAACATGAATGAATTCCTATGCACACTGCACATATCTTATTTGTAGTGCAAAAAACTTAAAAACAATACAATAATTAAAATGAAGAACAATTTTAATAAATATAAACTTATTAGTATTTAATGGGAAGTGTTGGCCTGCTTTTGGCTGATGAGATAGGATTGTTGTTGTTGTGTGCTTTCAGATTTAGGTTGACCCTGAACGAGGGCCGGGTAAATGACCTTGGAGGGCCGTATCCAGCCCCTGGGTCTTCTTTTGAGGACCCCTGCTCTAAGACGTAAGTGAGAGCACCTAGCATTGTTGATCAATCCAAGTACTAACCAGGGATCACCCTGCTTAGTTTCCCACATAAGCCAGGATCTGGTGCCTTTAGTATGCTGAAGCCTTGCAGGCAAATCATGGACAAACTTTGTGTATGAGCTCTTTGCTTTTGTTTCCTTGCTGTCCGTTATGAATGTATAGTCAAGGTCTGAAGAACAAGCCCTATGAGGAGCGGCTTAAAGAGCTGGGCATGTTTAGCCTGAAGAAGAGAAGGCTGAGAGGAGATATGATAGCCATGTATAAATATGTGAGAGGAAGCCACAGGGAGGAGGGAGCAAGCTTGTTTTCTGCTTCCCTGGAGACTAGGACAATGGAGCAATGGCTTCAAACTACAAGAAAGGAGATTCCATCTGAACATGAGGAAGAACTTCCTGACTGTGAGAGCTGTTCAGCAGTGGAACTCTCTGCCCCGGAGTGTGGTGGAGGCTCCTTCTTTGGAGGCTTTTAAACAGAGGCTGGATGGCCATCTGTCAGGGGTGCTTTGAATGCAATATTCCTGCTTCTTGGAAGAATGAGGTTGGATTGATACATAGATACATAGATGCATGGATGGATGGATATAGATGCATGCATGCATGAATGGATGGATACATAGATGCATGGATGGATGGATAGATAGATAGATAGATAGATAGATAGATAGATAGATAGATAGACAGACAGACAGACAGACAGATAGATAGATAGATCTATAGATACATAGATAGATGGCTGGCTGGATGGATAGATAGGTACATAGATGAATGGATAGATGGATACATAGATGCATGCATGCATGAATGGATGGATACATAGATGCATGGATGGATGGATGGATGGATGGATGGATGGATGGATGGATGGATGGATGGATGGATAGATAGATAGATAGATAGATAGATAGATAGATCTATAGATACATAGATAGACGGATGGCTGGATGGATAGATAGGTACATAGATGAATGGATGGATGGATACATAGATGCATGCATGCATGAATGGACGGATACATAGATGCATGCATGCATGCATGCATGCATGCATGCATGGACGGACGGACGGACGGACGGACAGACAGACAGATAGATAGATAGATCTATAGATACATAGATAGATGGATGGCTGGATGGATAGATAGGTACATAGATGAATGGATGGATGGATACATAGATGCATGCATGCATGCATGCATGCATGGATGGACGGACGGACGGACGGACAGACAGACAGACAGACAGACAGATCTATAGATAGATAGATAGATGGATGGGATGGACAAACAATAGACAGAATGGATGGATGGATGGATGGATGGATGGATGGATGGATGGATGGATGGATGGATGGATGGATAGATAGATAGATAGATAGATAGATAGATGATAGATAGATAGATAGATAGATAGATAGATAGATGGATGGATGGATAGGTACATAGATGAATGGATGGATGGATACATACATAGATACATGGATGGATACATACATACATACATACATACATACATACATAGGTACATAGATGGATGAATGGATAGATGGATAGAAAGAGAGATAGATAAATGGATGGATGGATAGATACATATATACATAAATAGAATGGATGGATAGGTGGATTGATCCTGAGATACATAGATGGATGAATAGACAGACACACTCTATGATTCTATGATTTGTGACACACCACTTGCACATGAAAACTTCTGAGAGAGCCATTGTGGTGTAATAGTTTGAAGAATTGCTCAAATGTATGTATTATGCCACAAGAGGGCAGGCACGTTCCATTGCCAGTTTTTAACAACTGGTTCCTACAGTTTCCAGTATTGTTTATGATGTGCTGAAAGATATATTCACTGTGATTCACATTAGTATGTACTATACAGTAACAGATCTTAAGATGGCTAGATCTCTGTTGTTATATAAGAAAGCAAAGTAATGAGAGCCGGAGGCCAAAAAGCTAGGACACTGCCAACAACTTCAGATGGAAAATAGCTCTGCGTTCTGCACAATGGCTCAAAATATTAGTGTAACCCCCTAGATGGGGAAAGGCAGAGAAGGCAAATCAACATCCCAAACCATGGCCATATTCTATACACAATTCTATGTGTCTTGAAATTGTAAATATGGTTTTTGGATGCTACAACTTGCTCCATCCACATCGGCACATCGATACATGCAAGGGATGAGGATTATAACCAATACAATGGAGTTGAAAACCTTTGGTCCTCTAGATGTGTTGAATCACAGTTGCCACAACTCCTTCACATGATCCCTGGGGAGTCTGGGAGTTGAAGTCCAAAACATCTGGAGGGACAGACTATCTCTAAGGCTTCACTGAATGAGGAAAGAGAGGGAAGGAGACCATCTAACACAGTCATAGGCAAACTGTGGCTCTCCAGGTGTTTTGGACTACAACTCCCACGACCAACAGAAAATACTGGAAGGGTTTGGTGGGCACTGTCCTTGAATTAAGGAGTTGTAGTTCACCTACATCCAGAGAGCACTGTGGACTCAAACAATGATGGATCTGGACCAAACTTGGCATGAATACTCAATATGCCCAAATGTGAACACTGGTGGAGTTTGGGAAAAATAGACCTTGACATTTGGGAGTTGTAGTTTCTGGGATTTATAGTTCACCTACAACCAAAGAGAGTACTGTGGACTCAAACAATGATGGATCTGGACCAAACTTGGCATGAATGCTCCATATGCCCTAATGTAAAAACTGGTGGAGTTTGGGGAAAATAGACATTGACATTTGGGAGTTGTAGTTTCTGGGATTTATAGTTCACCTACAACCAAAGAGGGTACTGTGAACTCAAACAATGATGGATCCGGACCAAACTTGGCATGAATACTCAATATGCCCAAATGCAAACACTGGTGGAGTTTGGGGAAAATAGACCTTGACATTTGGGAGTTGTAGTTTCTGGGATTTATAGTTCACCTACAACCAAAGAGAGTACTGTGGACTCAAACAATGATGGATCCGGACCAAACTTGGTATGAATACTCAATATGCCCAAATGCAAACACTGGTGGAGTTTGGGGAGAATAGAGCTTGACATTTGGAAGCTGTAGTTAGAATCATAGAGTTGGAAGAGACCTCCTGGGCCATCCAGTCCAACCCCATTCTGCCAAGAAGCAGGAAAATTGCATTCAAAGCACCCCTCACAGATGGCCATCCAGCCTCTGTTTAAAAGCCTCCAAAGAAGGAGCCTCCACCACACTCCAGGAGCAGAGAGTTCCACTGCTGAACAGCTCTCACAGTCAGGAAGTTCTTCCTAATGTTCAGGTGGAATCTCCTTTCTTGTAGTTTGAAGTCATTGTTCCGCGTCCTAGTCTCCAGGGCAGCAGAAAACAAGCTTGCTCCCTCCTCCCTATTACTTCCCTTCACATACTTATACATGGCTATCATGTCTCTTCTCAGCCTTCTCTTCTTCAAGCTAAACATGCCCAGCTCTTTAAGCCACTCCTCATAGGGCTTGTTCTCCAGACTCTTGATCATTTGAGTCACCCTCCTCTGGACACATTCCAACTTGTCAATATCTTTCTTCAATTGGGGTGCCCAGAATTGGACACAGTATTCCAGGTGTGGTCTAACCAAGACAGAATGGAGGAGAAAACATGACATCTCTGGATGCTGGGATTTATAGTCCACGTACAATCAAAGAGCATTCTGAACCTTAGCAATGATAGAATTGGGCCAAACTTCCCACACAGAACCCTCATATCCAACAGAAAATACTGTGTTTTCTGATGGTCTTTGTTGTCCAGAGGAGGGCGACTAAAATGATCAAGGGTCTGGAGAACAAGCCCTATGAAGAGCGGCTTAAGGAGCTGGGCATGTTTAGCCTGAAGAAGAGAAAGCTGAGAGGAGATATTATAGCCATGTATAAATATGTGAGAGGAAGCCATAGGGAGGAGGAGGGAGCAAGCTTGTTTTCTGCTTCCTTGGAGACTAGGACGCAATGGAACAATGGCTTCAAACTACAAGAGAGGAGATTCCATCTGAACACGAGGAGAGCCGTTCAGCAGTGGAACTCTCTGCCCTGGAGTGTGGTGGAGGCTCCTTCTTTGGAAGCTTTTAAATAGAGGCTGGATGGCCATCTGTCAGGGGTGCTTTGAATGCAATATTCCTGCTTCTTGGCAGAATGGGGTTGGACTGGATGGCTCAGGAGGTCTCTTCCAACTCTTGGATTCTATGATCTATGATTCTATGACCCCTCTGACACCCCTTTGCGAGCACTCCAGGGGTCCCGACCCTCAGGTTGAGAAATGCTGTTGTTAACCTACAACTCCCATTGAGCCATGGTGGTTAAAGTGGTGTCAAACTGAATCAATTCCACGGTGCAGATGCTCCTGAGTCTATGCCTGTTGGAATCAAATTAACTGCTTCTACTATAGCAGA